GATTACAAACAGGTCTCTGGGCACTTCCAGCCTGGGGTGAGAGCATGGTGGGCCTAGAGCTTCACACATCTTTGTGGTTGTGACCTTTAGACCCCTCTGGGGTCCTCTTAGCTCTGGCAGCTGCACAGCCCGGGAGACCCAAATAGCCACAGATATACCCAGAGCCTTTCCCCTCCAAGTCTCCTGGGGCCTTTCCTTTCTAGAAAAACATTTTTATTTTCATTCTTTTTACTTATAGTTTTCAAATCTATATAAAATGAGTTTTTGTTTTGGAGGGAAGAAGGTACTTTAAAAATGAAGAGCTCCCTGGGGTAACTTTTGTGGTGGTAGAGTGTGCGCACTCATTGAGGTGTGTGCATGTGACTTTTTTGGAGAACAGCAGAGAATGGGAAGCAGCTGAAGTGTTTTCCTTTGGGCCCCCTGTGGCCTCATCTAGTTGCTCGCCGCCGCACACTGGGTAATTTTACACACGCTGGCTTCAGATGCTGCTGAAGTCTGGAGTCCTCAGAGGAAGGCTGGTTCTTTTGAGCTCGGGTAAGGCATCACATCCCCTCCTTTGTTTGTTTTAGAAGTTGTTCTGGTGTGCAGGCTCCCAGGGGCATCTCGGTGAGGACGGAGATATCTGTGCCTTAGCAGAAATCTGTGCCTTAGCAGGATCTTCCACCGTCTCCATCACCACTCACAGGATGGCGCAGCAGCATCAGTCTGTCACGTGGGATAGTGGCGGGGGTGGGGCAGGGTGATGGTGCTGGATCTTGGTAGCCTCTGGCAAATTACTTCATTTCCCAAAGCCTGCGAAACAGGGGTGCAAATGTTATCTGCCTACTGGAACTGTGCCTGGCACACAGCAAGTGCTCACAAGGAGCCGTGCAACTCAGCTCCCAGGTTGTCTTTAAGTCTGGCGGTCAGCTCTGACAGAGTAGACACTCACTTTCCCTATTTTAGATCCTAAGAGCCCAGCACTCTACCTAAGCACTTGAGTAAATGAATGGTGCATGAATGAATGAAATCCCAAAGCCAAATCATAATATGACTAGACTAATTTTATGACACATTTTTCATTCACATTTGACTGGCATCCTTGAAGACCCCCCTTTGACATCATTTCTTTCTTGTCTGCTCCCTCTCCCACTTAAAAAGTGGATCTATTTTCCTGTCTCCGTGTATCACTTTTGGAAGTATTTGTTTTGTCCCTTTCTGCTTTTATTTTCTTTGACCTAGAAGGTTACTATAGCACTATAGCACACTATCTAAATGAGAATAATTTGTTACTAACTTTTCCAATTAGTATTGTGATTCTGAGGGGAGGGTCCAGAGTTTTTCTATTTCTACTTCAGCTGTGCAGAGATGACCAAACTAGGCTCTGTTGCTTCACTGGCAGCTTTTGAAATGCATTAGAAGAGAACTAGAAGAGATCACAGCAGCCACCCAGTTCAAACCCTTCATTTTGAAGAGACACTGTGGATTAACCATGGTTGCAGAGCTAGTTAGTAGCAGGGTAGGGACTACAAGGCAGGTCTCCTAAGTCATTGTTCAGTGATTTTCTAATGCATACAATAGCTTTCCTTCTACACTCAAGATGTAGCATTTTAACTAATGCATATTCTGATGTTACTCTTAAACAATTTGAAGATGGATGACAGAAGATTGATTTTGAGGAGGAAATCTCATTGGCATTGGTGGAGTGTGCAAAAATTAGTCAAATTAAAGAAAAAAGAAGGATCAAACTGATTGCATTTGGGATCATATTTGGCATGTGCATCGGCACTTTGTGACATGATTTATTATGTAGTTACAGAAACAAGCAGACTGCATGGAATAAATAAGTGGTGAAAAATAAATATAAGGCTATTTTGTTAAGTGATTGAGTAAGTGATGCAGAGAAAATGTTTTGTGACTAGTGCAGTAGTGAGTAAACACTAATTCCAGATCCTGAAGAGTGAAGTAGGTCTGGCTATGCATTTCCATAGAGCAAACAGCATGTGTGGGTGAGGAGAGGGTGGTGGATGCAGCAGTGTGGGAGGTGACGTGTGTTATGGGAGGCTGGTGAAAAGGCGGTGTGACTGGAAAATAGATCCAAGTGGGTGGGATGCAGAAAGATTATGAAGGACCTCAAGAGTGAGGTAGAAGAGGTCAGACCACAAGGTGCTCACCTTGCATTTTGGGCTACAGTGTGACTCTGTAGAGGCCAGTTTGATACAGACACATGTGCAGTTGGCATTGTGGGTTTGGAGAGCCTAGAAGACTATTTATGGGGTGCTTGACAATCTAGGCAAGAAATGGCAAGATGGCAGAGGTAAGTGGGAATGGAAAAGGAGGAGAAAATATAAATTTGATAGCTTGAGAGAAGAAATTATTCAAAGTTGGATCTAAGGACTTCAGCCTGAGTGACAAGGTAAAGGAGCTTGTCTGTGTCCTGAACTGTAGTTCCTGCAAACACAAGAGTTGGAGCCGATAGCTCTAATGGAACCTATTCCCGGTTGGCAGGCTTCCTCTCCCCATGTTTCAGGTCACAGAGCTGTTGTATTAAAGGCGTGCCTTAGTTCCCTTAAGGAAAACAATATTTATAAGAAAGTTGGTTGGTTCCTTGCACCTGCTTTCTGATTACTGTTGACTTTGCTACTTAGTTATCTCATTGTTAAATATATAGAGAGCAATCCCTGGAGCCCATTAGTCTCCACAGGTGGGAATGGATTTAATCTGTGGGAGAAAACAAAATTGCTTACCTGGAATGTTTGTTCTCTGACTAATCATGTAGTCATGTTGACCCACCCTCTATACCCTGTCAGTTCCCAGAGGTTTTGGCATTAGCGAGGGGCATTAGAATTATATATGACTAAGGAAGCCTGTTGGGGGACTTTGTAATATTCAACCTTTGACTTATGAAATTGAAAAAGATTCTAGGCATGGAGGCCTGCAGATCTTTTATAAGACAGTTATATATATATTTTTTCCTGATCTAAGGAGCATTCATTCCATACCTGACATATCTCCTTTATTATGTAAAAGGCTAAAAAGAAGATACATGAGCATGCTGGAAGTTTTCCTGATGACAGCAGACATTTATGCGGTAAAAATGTTAGTGTCATTATGGGACTCTCTGCAGTAGTAACCCTGTGGAGTAAATATAGTTATCACCCCCATTTAACAGATGAAGATACTGAGAAAGGCTGGGAAAGGTACCTCAAGGTGAAGTGAACTTGTCTTGGACCTTGGCCATCTGACTTTAAATCCTGACTTTTTCTCATTCTGTTATGCAGAGCTTGGGCAAAAAGTCAGGCTCAGAGAACTGCCAACTTGTTTACATGTTTTATTTTTAAATTATGTAACATTGGTTCTTTATGGATTGTTTGGACTTGTCTACTACAACAAGCAGGAGAGCAATTCAGGAGATTGTATATTACTCTCCATTAGCTATTAGCTCTTGTGAATTAATTATGCTACAGAAGTCACCCTTTCAGCTGTTTAAATTACCTAGCTAATCCACATTCTTGCTTTGCTTCTTGCAAGGTCCGGCTTGCCTAGAAAAAAATGGGTGCTCCATTTCTCTTACTATATTTAGCTGCCTGGGTTGGTAACTTCTACCTGCTCTTTGGGACTTGGGCTTAAAGCCAAGGTTCTTGTGCAACAGAAGGTGAAGTGGCTGGATTTAGGCTGTATCTTGTGTCAGTCATTTTGACGAGGGCAGCATTTTGAGGAAAACATGGCCAGATGGCTGTAGGAAATGCTAATTTACAAACAGTTTGTGTGCTTTGCTGCATTTCCCCCATTGTGTTTCTTTGATAAATTTGTCTTTTGACCACTTCTTCCAAACTACAGCTCTCCAGAAGGTGGCATGGTCTCTGCTTGAACCTGTGGCACAGCGTCAACATTATTTCTCCTTTTAAATTCCAAGAAGATAGCCTAGGCAACCAGGAGATGCAGACTATCATATCTTCTGCATGCACTATGAGTAGGCCCTTGGTTCTTTCTACTTTACCCCGATCCTCTTGTCATAGTTCCATTTAAATCATCTTCAGAAAAGATATCATATTTTCCTTAAGTGTCTGAGGAAACCCTAACTTCTCTTTCTCTTTTATGCTGGCATTCAGCAACTTAGATTGTGTTTAAATACCAGAAAATGGCAGGTGATGGCAAGGTGGAGCTAAATCTGTAACCTTCTTTCTGTTTGTTTTGACCAGTACATAGCCAGTTAAACTGATTATGTACACAGGAGGTATTCATAAGGAGGAAGACTCCAGCATGGATTATGTGGCACTCTGGAGGAAGCCCCAACCTCATTATCAGTAACTTCATCTTTTACTTAGTTTCAATCTTCAGGGTGTAACTGAAATAAGCCTACTCTGAAGTTGCCCTAACTGGAGGTGGAAATAACTTCTTGCAGTTCACTGTGTAAGAAACCTCTATGGCTAGACGTGGTGGCCCACACTTGTTATCCCAGCACTCAGAAGTCTGGGGCAGGAGGATCGCAAGTTTGAGGTCAACCTGGAATACATTAAACCAATCAACCAACCAACCAACAAAACAAACAAACAAATAAACCCCTTTATACATACTGGGAGATCGGGCAAGAAACTTTGGGTCCTCAGAACGTTAGAATTAAACATCAGTGATTTCTTGCTGCAAGGCATCCTGGGAAGGTGCCTATCAAATAACAAAAATGCTTGTGAATAGTTTAGGGCAAAACCCGAGAGTTCTTTGAGGTTCTTTTTTTTTTTAAAGCTATTATGCTTATGGAGAGAAACGAGTCCTAGGCCTTCATTGTCTCAATCCTGACACACAGAAAAGGACAAAGGAACACGACAGAACAAGACCCAGGGGATGGGAGTGAGCCGAGCCACTGGCCTACCCTTCCCTGCTGAGTACCTGCGGTGACTGTATGGACAGGGATTCCCACAATCACTCCAAGCACCTCTATGAAATAGCTGCGGTCTGTTTCCATTCCATTACCCACTTAGTCAGCGGCTTCCTGCCTATCCACAGTTGACTGCCGCAAGGACTCCTTGGTGTCTCCGCGTACCCTTGGGAGGAACAGCGACGGGAATGAGGAAAAGATGGACAGAGACAGAGCCGGGTCAGGTGGAGGCTTCTTTACTGGATGGGTAAGAGGACCTGCACAACAACAGTAGGGGCGTTTATTTATACTCTTGCAAAGTTAGTATCACGAGACACAAGGTTGCCTAGCGACTAATGACAAATTGTCCAGGCAGGATGCTTTTCTCAAGACTGAGGTACCTTGACTGCTTTAGGCACTGTGGCCTTATCTTGCCTCCACACCTATAACCAATTTCCAGCTTCAGCCACTCCTAACAGACTGCCTCATACCCAATCTGCTTGTTTGAAAGCTCCCATTTCCCATCTCTGGCAGGTGCGCCTGAATCCCACTGACCTCTGTAACTGTCAGTCTGTAATGGGAGGCTTAATGAGCAGATACACTGATTATTACAGTAGTGAAGATATGGAAATAATGATGGGACAAGAACAGAAAGACAATTGCTATTTACTTAGCAAATATTGAATCAGTACCTATTTTGTCGCAAGCACTGGTGTAAGTTAAGAGCATATACATGAATAAAACAACAGGATCTATGTCACAGAAATTCTCTATCAAAGATGGACACAAAATCAATGGTTATTTTTAATAACATTTTTTTTTTTGTCTTTTTGAGAAGAGTGTCACGATGCAGTTCAGGCTGGCCTTGAGCTCACTTTGTAACCCAAGCTAGTCTTGAACTCACAACGATCCTCCTCCCTCAGCTGCCCGAGTGCTGGGATTACAGGCATGCATCACCATGCCTGGCTAATAACTATTTTTGTTAAAAATACTTTTCTCAAAATTTGGAGGGCAGAAATATTTTGAGGCATTAATAATTAAACAGATCAAAAATTAAGAATTATGACTTAGCAAGGTATAGATGTGAATGCTATTTGAACTAGGAAGCGATGAATATAATAAGTAATAAATGTAATCAAGTTCTGTTTCAATATAAAGTTTTCATTTTCTGAAGATAAGCTGAATGATGAAAGGCATTATAATTCTTTCCTTTTAATCTGGGCCCTTCTTGAAAATGCAGTATTGATGAGGCCGAGGCCATGAAGCTCTTAAATAAATTGTGTGCAATGAAGTTTACATATGCTGTTTGACAGTGATCAGTCATTCTCTAAGAAAGACTGGCGATATTTTTCATTCATAAAGTCAGGTCTTCGTTTATTACCATTTCTCAGCAGGAGGGAGAAGAGTTAAAAGCAGCAGTGGCAAAAGGGATAGGAAGGGTGTGAGACATGGCTTAAAGGTCATGATCTCCACACACCTATGTGTCAAGTTTGTCTTATGCGGGTGGAGGGGTTACTTGAGGACATTCTGGAGCAGAAAACTGTCAGAGGGGACAGAATGGAGGAGGTTGTATCCCTCAGCCTTTAAAAACACAAATCCTTTATTTTTTAAATGAGCTAAAATATTAATATCATAGGGAAAATTTTCATAACTATACTTCTATGGTTCTATATGAGCACATTTAATTGTATCTTAAAGTGCTAAAAAGGAAAAGATAAAACATAGCTCTTAAAGAGAGTGGGAATTTATAAATTCAGAGTGAATTCAACAAACTTAGAGAAATCCAGCTGTGTCTGTCACTTTGGTAATGCCCCCTTCAATAAAAGTGTTGACTAAAATATACTTCTAGTTTTCAAAGAACTCATAGTGTAACAAAGGGTGGGGCTGTTGTGTGCAACACCAAGTAAGTACTGCTTTAGTTTGTAGACAGTCTAGCAGGGTAATTTCCTCAAATTTCAATGGAGGAAAGGGGAAATTCTTGGTATTATCAGCCTTTCTGTCTTCCTTTTTTTAACCTATGTGTTTTTTGTGATCTTACAATTTAACTGTATGTGGAGTTTTTTGTGCATCTCATCTTAATGGTGTAGTTTAACAATCAATACCATCAATTTTCTGATAAAGTAAGGTTTGAATACACAAAACAGTTACAATAAATTTATCATTATATATAAGTCACTTACCAAACAAATGGGCTATTCAGAAAAGGCTAAAGGTAAATTACTTGGAAAAGGTGGCCAAGGGTCATGGTATTTTTTTGATTTGAAGAATTTATGGCTGAGTAGCTTCTTTACAGTCATAAAATTTCAGCTTCCTATTCTTTACTCGAATTGAGTCTGAAGAATCAAACAAGACTGGGAAGAGAAGGTGATTATGGAAGCATACCTTCTAGGTGGGAAGGCTGGTAAAGAGGTTCTATTAATATAGGGGTTATATTTAGCATACTTACAATTATATATCTAAAACCTAACACCTTGTGACACATAGTTGGTATGTAAGAAAATTGTGCTTTATCTTTTCCTTTTTAGCACTTTAAGATACAATTAAATGTGCTCATATAAAACCATAGAAGCATAGTTTTATGAAAAATTTCCCTATGATATTAGGATATTAGCTCTTTAAAAAATAAAGAATTTGTGTGTTTAAAGGATGAGGGGTACTACCTTCCCCTTGCTGTCCCCTCTGACAGTTTTCTACTCCGGAGTATCCTCAAGAATTGGACAAGACTAGGAAGAAAAGGTGATTCTAGAAGTATACTTTCTAGGTAGGAAGGTTGGTAAAGAGGTTATGGGTGATGGCAGAGTGGGAAGAATGCAGTCTGCCCCTTGTAACTAGGGTATGATATGATGTGACTATTAATTGTGATATATCAACTTGCCTGGACCCTAGCAGTAAAGAATATTTTTGAGTGTACCTGGGCGGGTCATGGATAGTACCTTAGGTGCTATATATGGTCTCGGCCCCTTTCTTTCCTAGTTCTGTTCCCTTGCTATGCTTCCTGGCCATCACGAACTGCACATCTTTGCTCTGTCCTGCTGTTTCACCGTGATGTGTCTGTATTGGAGCCAGCTAACTCTGAACTGAACCCCTTAAAACCATGAGCCGAATTAAACCTCTCCTCCTTTATATTGTTGCAAGCGTCAGGTATTGTGTGTCAGGAAAGTTAACGAATGCACATGTCTGATCCCTAACTCTAAACAATAAGTTGTGGCTGGAATTGTTTGACAACCACTTTCTTTCTTTTCTTTTTTTTAAAAATTAGTACATGTTTGCAGTACATAATGAATATATGCATTGTCTGTAATTGGTGCATGTACAAGACACATCTTCATTCTTGTATGTCCTCTTCCCACCTCCCAACAGCTCTTGGTCCCCCTCCCACTTGCAAGGTACTCACTTTAAATAAGAAATAGAATATATTGTACTATAGTTGGTAACTTCTGTATCGTCTGTTGGTACATTTTATTAATGTAGGGGTTATATTTGGCATATCTAAAATTATATACCTAAGACCTAACACTGTGTGACACATAGTTGGTATGCATGAAACGCTATTAAATGAATTAGTACCTAGTGATGGAAGAAACAGAAAAAGTGGCAAACAGAAGAGGGAGAAAATTGAGTTGTAGTTATTTCCTTAGTCTTCCTAGAATACTTCTTGATATCATTAACCCAATTTAAAAGACTGCTTAAGTACTGGAGAGTGTCATAATTTCAAAGTATACATTTATCTTTATATTGACAGCCTGTTTCTTAATAACAATGCTAGAAATTTGAATGGTAGGTTTTAATCTTAGAACAAAGAGCTCATGGCAAAGATGTGGGATTTCAAACCAAAATATATTTCTGTCACCTAAAATGCACCACATCCAGTACGACTATTGCCTCTCAGGAACTCTTGGCATGTATATCTGTCCATTTGATACAGAGTGGGTAATGTAGCTCCTTTCTGAAAGTGCTTATTTAATTCATCTGAATTAAGTGGGAATAACAGACAGAAGAGCTTTAACCATAGAGATAAAGTAACCGAATTGCATTGCCAAGAATGAGTCCAGGTTAGTGGAAATACATTAGGAAAGACACTGTAAAAACGCAAAGTAAGAGTCTTACAAAAGATCAAGGATTAGTGCTGTGAAAATATAACAGCACAAAGAAAAAGCATTAAGAACGTAAAGCCATTTTCCAAAGCAGCCATTCTCATCCAGAGCATACAAGATACTTTCAGCTAGAGTGGCTTTTGCCACTGCCTGGTGTCACAGGGCTCAAGCCCTGGAAACCAGTTGCACATGGCTCCTTCCCTTGCAGGAGTGCCAGCCAGCAGAGCTTCCAGAGCAAGTCTGCACAGGCGACTGGAATGCTCAGGTGCCTACATAAAGAGATTCAGTCTGACTATGAACCCTCCTTAGTCAGCTCCTGATGATTCCAGAGATGGTAGCCCTGTTAATCTCAGTATATTACTTAAAAGAGGGTGTTGAAAACACTGTTATTAGGTCCCCACGTCTGATGCTATATGCTGTACCCCAAGGAAAGGTCAATTCACACCTTGTGTTTTCCCTGTTTCATATCCCACTAGTTTGGCTTCCTAGGAACTCCCAGAATTTCAGGAGGCAATTCCAGACATCAGAGAAACATTTTTTAAAAAGTAGTATTTTTCAACAGGCAGCATATGAAAAAAAAAAAAAAGACAAACCCAGCTTGACCATTGCCTCTCGGCAAAGGTACAAAATTTTCAGACAGTAAATAAATAGAAGGTTATTTGAAAGTGCAGTAAACCTAGAGAGATAGTCTGGAGACAAACAGAAGACCAGGAGGGAAAGTGGAGAGGGAGTGGTGACCCAGATGGGAGAGTCTACAACCCTGTGACTCCAAGCATGGTCTCTCATTCCTTCAGCTGACAGAATCAGAACTTGACTGTTCGAGGGTTCCCAGGGGATTTGTGTGCACCTTGAGGTTTGAGAGCTTGGGTGGCTCTTGCAGATCAGAGAGGCAGGATTCTGAGGGAATTTGCAACCCATGGAACTTTGAACCTTTTGTGTATCTGAGAAATGTCTGAGGAAGTTGTGAAGAAGGCAAGTTCACAGCCCAGAGCAAGGAAGTCCTGATTCAATTTGCTTGTGTGGTACCTCAAAAATCTGAATTTCTAACAGATTTCCCAGGGCTTCTGACACATGTGGTTACTAGACCACACTTTGACAAACCTCTGCTACCAATGCAAGGTCTGTGGAAGGAAGTCTATGCTTCTTAAATAAAACCTATTGAAGCAGCAGGCTG